CCCCGCCCAATCTCTGGAGAAGTGGTGGCGCAGGCCTGAGAATTCCAAGCTTCCAATTATGGTTTGGCCTTTCTGGGGACCAGGAGGCATCTAGGACTCCCCTCAGAGTCACCTCAATAGACCAGAAGATGCTTCTTGTGCTCTTATCTCTTAGGAATTTATAAGCATTTTAGAAGCTCTGTGTCAGGAATCAAGGGCAGAGACCAACATATGTATTTCCTGTTATCTCACACACAAACTCTAGCCTATACCATATATGATGCACCTGACTAAATACTACATTGCCTTTATTAAGGAATTTCTACAGTGCTTTATTATTCCCAATAGTAAAGAATTAAGTATTTAATTTGTACTTTTATGTTGTTCCAGATTAGTCCCTGAACATGTTAGAAACAGTATGTCTTATCAGGCAAGATTTCCATGGTCTTACCCATGGAAATCCATAAATCAATCAACTGATCTTTGACAAAGGGCAAACTTTTTCACCTACTTAATTTTTTCCCTGATGAAAACATAAATTTTTTATTCTATTCCTTTGCCATAACAGTAGTATAGACTGGTTAGGATGTACAATATTGTCAAGCATATATGAAATACATAGCCCCTAAAAGTGCTTTGTATTTTATCAACTCTCAACAAGAAATTTGATTATTAGAAAGTGTGGGGATTTTAATTATGCAAATGACAGATATTTTGCAAACACTCTAGGCTCTGCAAATGTTTAATGGTAGAAATTTGTTTTATACGCTATGGCCTTTATTACGTGATTTGCCTTTCAGTACTCTACAAGCCAGTTTTCTATGTACACATATGCGATTGGCACCTTTAATGTGAAGTCAATCCATGTTACTGTTTTCCCAAAGCAACTGAGAAGTTTCATTCCACCTAAAAATTAATATTAAGTGACATAAGCCAGACACAAAAGGACAGATATTGTATGATTCCAGTTATATGAAGTACCTAGAGTAGTCAAACTCACAGAGGCAGAAAGCAGAATAGAGGTTACCAAGGTCTAGAGGGAAGGGGTAATAGGGAGAACACTGAAGAACATTCATGTGGACACTATGTCAGACATTTCATGTGCATTTGCTCATAGCCATCCCACTAGACAGATATGGATACAGTTTTCAGTTTGGGATGATGACAGACTTCTAGAGGCTAATAGTGTGATGATTGCACAATGCAAATATACTTAAATCCACTAACTGTTCACTTAACATGGTTTAAATAGTAAATCTTCTGTTATGTATGTATATTTTACTACAATTTAAAACCCAGCAATTTAAGCATATAACTTAGACATACAGAGGCAAATCCTAAAAGAAAAAAAAAAAAAAAGCACCTCTAAGATTAGAAAGTATTTTCCTTTGAAAATGGGAACATGGTGGGGAGAGGAATGCTGTCTTCAAACAAACTGTGTAAAACTATTTATCTCTTTAAATCATGTGCATGTAAAATTTTGATAATACTATGAATAAATAACAATCACAATAAATTTGAAATAGTTTTAAGCCCCTCTATGTTATGGATAACCAAATCACAAAGAGGGTAGGACCCTTGGCCAAGATAACTCAAAACAGTCAGTGGCAGAAGAAAGGGTTGAGCCAACATGTTCTAAATCAAAGTTCAGCATCAACACATTGCACCATCCAGGAGCATCTTCCTGAATATCCTAAAATAAACTTCTGGGAGTCCTGCCTTAACCCTTCTTAAATTATTTTTCTTCATGTTTTATTAAATGCCTAATAATAACACAGATTTTCCACTTTGCCTAGCATTATTCATTAAAAATGAAACTTTTCTAATCCAAACACACTTTTGAAGTAAGTTGCTTTTCTTCTCTATCTTCGTAATTCAAACTAAACAGGGTTTTTGAGTTGTCATTTAATGTTGCTCCCTAAATGGTTGGAGAGCCTGTGCTACTGATGAGTAAGACTCTGTCCTTTATTTCTCATGTGGAGCATTTTGCTCTGAGTCTAAAAACAATCATCGTGACCATTATGGCAACAGAAAGCACCTCCATTTAAGCAGCTGCATTTCAATTCAACTCCAGTCACAAGTTTAATATTAATTTTAATGTTAATTTTTCCATTAGAAATACGACATCATTATAAAGAGCAGCTAGATATATAATTCACCATGCTTCAGGCTTTAGCATAAAACCCTATGTGAGTGCTGCTTCCAACAATACTCCATTAGTTGTCAGTTGAACACATACTAATGGGCATCCATAAAACAATTGTTTCAAGAACTGTAAGGACCTGTCATAAGCACATCCTCCAACACTGACAAAGTGCCTCTTCCCAGAATAATGTGCTTGAGAAATCATCAATCTTAGAATCTAAATAAAATTTATTATACTCATATTATCATAATAGTGTAGATTACTGCGTATGGTTTCTGATCGTATGTCACTATCTCTTCCAGTTTGTGTGCTTCCTGAGGGTAAGGTAGCACAGGACTGCATGTGTAATAAAGGCTCATGAAGCACTTATAATAAGTAATGAATCAGAGTGTGAAATCTTGGGAAGTTAAAGCTGAAATGGGTCCTAGGGATTGATGAGTCTATCTACCTCTTTTTACAATTAAGAAAACACTGAAGAACATTCATGTGGACACTCTGTCAGACATTTCATATGCATTTGCTCACAGCCGTCCCACTAGACAGATATGGAACAAGAATCAGGGAGGTCAAGTAATGTGCCCAAGGTCACACAACTGGTCAGTGTTAATACGGGACTCCAAACAATGTGATTGGAGATCAGAGCTTGTGCTTAGGTGAAGTCCAGAGATACATGTTAACTGATTTGCAT